GTTCCTCTCTCCACCTGTGTGTTCCTCTGTCAATCAATCAATCAATGTTTATTTATATAGCCCAATATCACAAATGTTACATTTGTCTCAGTGGTCTTCACAGTGTGTACAGAATATCAGTATGACAATACGACACCCTTTGTCCTTACCCTCACATCGTACAAGGAAAAACTTCCGGAGAAAACCCACAGTTTAAAGGGAAAAATGGGAGAAACCTCAGGGAGAGCAACAGAGGAGGGATCCCTCTCCCAGAACGGACAGACGTGCAATAGATGCCGTGTGTAAATTGAAAAGATAATACATTTGCAACATAGGTAGTCCAAATGTTTGGAAATGCATGTGTGTATAATAGGAAGATGAATCCACGAGGATATCCATCCAGGACCTATGATCCAGGACCACAGCCACGACTCAAGATCCAGGGCTCGCGATCCAGGACAGAGGAGCGCAGGATCATCCATGACTCCGGATCCCGGCGTATATAGACACCAAAAAGAAAGACATTTGGGGAAGCTGGGTTAATCGGAACATGAGAGTACACAGGTATAGACAGAGAGAAGGAAGAAGTAAGATGTCCCCCGACAAACTAAGCCTATATCAGCAAAACTAGGGGCTGAATCTAATCAGCCCTAACTATAAGCTTTATCAAAAAGGAAGGTCTTAAGCGCACTCTTAAAAACGGATAGGGTGTCTGCCGCCCGAACACAAACTGGAAGCTGATTCCACAAATGTGGAGCTTGATAAGAAAAGGCTCTGGCTCCCATTGTACTTTTAGAGACTCTAGGAACAACCAACAACCCTGCATTCTTGGAACGCAATGCCCTAGTAGGACAGTAGGGTATAATGAGTTCTTTAAGGTAAGATGGCGCCTGCCCATTAAGGGCTTTGTAGGCGAGAAGAAGAATTTTAAATTCTATCCTGTGTTCTATAGGAAGCCAGTGTAAGGCAGCCAGAACAGGAGTAATGTGGTCCCTTTTCCTAACTCTGGTTAGTACACGAGCTGCAGCATTTTGAATCAGCTGAAGCGACTCTCTGTGTGTTCCTCTCTCCACCTGTGTGTTCCTCTGTGTGTTCCTCTCTCCACCTGTGTGTTCCTCTGTGTGTTCCTCTCTCCACCTGTGTGTTCCTCTGTGTGTTCCTCTGTGTGTTCCTCTCTCCACCTGTGTGTTCCTCTGTGTGTTCCTCTCTCCACCTGTGTGTTCCTCTGTGTGTTCCTCTGTGTGTTCCTCTCTCCACCTGTGTGTTCCTCTGTGTGTTCCTCTGTGTGTTCCTCTCTCCACCTGTGTGTTCCTCTGTGTGTTCCTCTGTGTGTTCCTCTCTCCACCTGTGTGTTCCTCTGTGTGTTCCTCTGTGTGTTCCTCTCTCCATGTGTGTTCCTCTGTGTGTTCCTCTCTCCACCTGTGTGTTCCTCTGTGTGTTCCTTTCTCTCCACCTGTGTGTTCCTCTCTCCACCTGTGTGTTCCTGTATTCACCACCAAACAATGTGAGTGATGCACTGACACCGCTCCATCTGCTCTGTTAAACTTCATTCCGTTTTATTTTTTCTGTGTCCGATATCGCGTAAAACAGAGGATTTTGACGTTGTGTGGTCATTGTATAACTCCACACACCTTTTCTACTCATACACTCTTTCATGACTTTTTATTTAATGTATTTTAACGGCTGTGATCGATGTTAACGTAAGACCGGAAATGACGTCACTGTTGATATCCGGAGACTTCTTCCAGTAAAGCTTTTCAAAATAAACTTTAGCAACAACGTTAGCCACAAGCCAATGCTAACCGGAAATGTTTTCAGAATAAAACAGTTTTAAGCTTACCATATGTTTAAATTAAATGACGTCATTAAACATTGATTTTAATTTCTAACACCCTACAATCTAGATGGATGAACATAATCTAGGGCCTAGATTATGTTCATCCATCAGAGTGTACTCAACCAAATCAACAACAAATGTCATTTGGAATACATTTTCAATGTCTATTCTTTGTATATTCACTGCCGTTATTAATGTAGATATCATTTGGTGACGATTAATGGTTTTTGTGTAGACAAGAGATGTTAAAACAGGTGAAATTGGACCAGGAACCCCCAAGTAAGGGGGGAGAAAGGAACACGACAGGAGAGTTAAAGGTTGTATTATTTGTGTCTGAAGAGAGACGGGGCAGCATGCTGGTCTGTGAAGATTGTGTTTGCTCAGTCTACCATGCACACTAAATACATGGTGTTTCGGTTTCATGTGCAGCCTTTGTCACCCAGCATGCACCCACAGGGTCTCACACACACACACACACACACAAACAGCATACACTCACGCTATTTCAACAACAGCAGAAAATGAGTACTAAATATATATTCAGTTCTTTGAGTTTTCTTAACAAAATAAGTTCATGCTGCAACGATATTTTGTAGGAAAATAATGGTATTTTTATTTGCTAAATTTCCAATTTGAAATGCATTTTTAACATATTTGTTAAATCATTCAAGCTTCCTAAATATAAGACATATTTCATTGTTCCTAAAGAGATCCCCTGCACATAAATAAATATAAATATCTGAAAGGTCTCCTATCATGCAAATCCACTTGTTGTCTTTTATACATAAATGTGTGTCAGGAGACTCACAAAGTGTCAGAAAATAAGACCCTCTCTCTTTTCCGCCGTACCCACATCTCTAAAAACGGGGGAACAACGGAGCTGATCCAGATTTGCGTCCAATATGACATAATATGGGAAATGTGGGCTGGCTTTATATAGTATAACTTTTGTACAGATGCTTTAGTGTTCCCGAAACTTTTTTTGGCCGGCTTTTATAGAAATGTATGTAATCATAGCGTCTATAAATAAAGTTTTACATTTCTTATAGTGATCACATCTTTCCAGCTCAAAATGATCAATACAAGTGGATGATTATTATAACTGTTTTTTTTCTTTATCTTAATTGTGACCTGCTTCATCGAAATCAGTCGCATTGACCCGAAGACACATTTTGAGTTGTATACACTGTTGGAAAGAGGATATTCCTAGCTTTCTAATGATATCAGGATTGTTTTTGTACTCCAAATATTAAGCGAAATATGTCACATTATATAATGACTGTCACAGTCATCATTTTGAGAAAAAGGCCTTCAAAGTTTTCTCTTCTCTGGAATCCATCGATCTGATTGATTATTAGTGGAGCGAATGATCAAAATACTACGGAGGGAAGATATTTTCGTTTGGATTACTGGTCTGGGGGAAGCTCGCGAGTGTGTGTGTGTATACGTGTGTATACGTGTGTGTGTTTTTGTGTAATTTTGTGTTTGTTTCCGGGGAAAACACTCATGAGAAACACCGGCTGTTGTTATGCCTGCTGTGACGTTAAGTTACTCCGTTCTCCGCTTGTAATTATGCCGAAGCTTCAAAGTTGTATTTATCATCTGAATTTGCCGAAACAAGTTTAATATTCTGAAAGCCAAGACTTTGTTTAATTGAAATCAGATGAAAACAAACTGTAACGGACCCTGCCGTGTTATTTATGATTACTATACGCGTACATTCATAATGTCAGCCGGAGGGCGGGGGGGGCGGCGCTGCGGAAGAGCAGATTGCGAGTGAGAGGTGCCTGTCTTCGTCCCTTTACAAGCTTCAAACATGTATTTATCGTGTGATTTTGGAAATAAAAGTTTAATATTCTGAAAGCCAAGACTTTGTTTGTTTAAAATCAAACAAAACACCCGAACCCTGAAAAAATAGTTTTTTTACGTAAATCCACGTTTATTTGAAATGAGCCCTTGCGACTTCCGACTGATTTCGATAGAGCGGGTCACAATTCAGATTGCCATCTATCTGATATTTATAAAGAAATTAAACGTACAGCTTCGCTATTCACATCATTTAATGTATCGTTTGAAATGCTGTTCGAATGTAACTACAAATTAAATAAGAATAGTACAATATTACTTTATCCCAATTAGGCTATATCTTGCTGTAGTTCAAATTGTTATGAAGCTATGTATCTAGACTGGGTATGTTGAAGTAAAGCTATTTAATAAGTGTTTTAATATGATGTTGTATTAAACCACATACTTCTTTCTAATCAGCAACAACAACAAAAAACACTACCAATGATGCTGATGCCTTGGCCAGCAGAATTGAGGTCCTGGTTGCAATTATAAAGAGACGCTCTCAGCGTCTATATAAAGTTACAGATGGCAACAAAGCTCGTGCCAGGATCCGGTGCAAGATCAGGAAGGAGAAGGAGATCCTAACCTCGGTTGTAGAGAGTTACAACAGAATGGTTCCAAGTACAGAAAATCTTTGATTGGAGGAGGAGAACGCTTGGCTATGTGGCAGCTACCACACAGTGGTATGTACACAAGTCTGTATATAAGTCTGAATAAGTCTGACATACTTTGTACATAATTGTGTCTCTTCCAGGGGCGGATCTACCGGGGTGGCATGGGGTAGCAACTGCCACCCTAAAAAATAGCCTTGCCACCCCCGTTGGCAGCTTTGTTTTGAAAGAAAAGTTGTGGCTCATCTGACATTTATGAGAGTGTAAGTGAATGCAGCACAAGACGCGAGCCTTGTAACCCCTCCCCCGGCCCTGGCGCGAGCGTGGAAATATGATTGGCGGTGATTTCATTTGAACAGGACGGGGCAAAACGAGAAGCATTCGAACAAGGAATGAGGTATTTGTGGTCTACAATGACAGAGAAGAGACTGTCAAGTTTGGCTGTACTCAGCATTGAATCAAAACACACTAAAGCTTTGGATCTTAATCAGTTTGTGAGGCGTTTTGCTGAACAACATGGTAACCGCCGCATTCAGCTGTTATAGGCATGCCAACTTGATGCTCTGCTCACGGATGATCATAAACAACTGTTAAGATGAAGACCTTGTATGTGTGTATATACTTTTTTTCTTTGTTGGGGTCTGCCCCCAAAAAACAGTTTTAAGTCCTGAGAAAGTTGAAATAAGACGGTGTGTAAAAAAAAAAGTAACCACAATTTAACTAGGCCAGTAGGTAAGGGCTTTCCACTGGATAATAACTGCAGCAATGTATATGTTTTAGCTGAATACACTTTTTTTTAACCCTAACTGATGCAGTTAGTCACTTCTTTAATGTTTGAAGAGTTTGGTTCCAAAACGCGATAAACGCCACTTTTGAAAAAAAATGAGTTCCCGCCAAAATCAGTATTGTATTTCGTCGGTATTGAAAAGTCAACATTCAATTTTACGTAAAACGCGATATCCGCTGTGTTATTCTGTCTTGTTTTCTCACTTTCTTTCCAAACAGCGACAAACGCTAGTCTCCCTTCTCTACAGAATGCGATACATCCGCTCAACCAATCACAGCGCACCATTCCACGCACCTCAACCAATCACAGAGCATTCCACGCAGTGTAAACAATAATGGCGGCACCCTGAATGTACTGGCTTTCGTGATTATCTACTTCAACAAACAATAAAAACATGAATAATTTTGACGGCATTGATGAACCTGTGGTGGTTTCTGCGGTGGGGAAGAAACGCAAGCCATCGAGATGTAATCATGTACGTGAGGAGATTAAGAAAATGAGGCACTCGGGAGGAGGAAAAATGCCGGCTGTCGCTTGTTATCATTCTCATACAAAAGCAAACTTCTGTCACGCAGACACATTGACCCCAGGGGATCTATTAAAAAACGTTCAGTGTTTTTACTCTGGATCTACTCAAATCGAGCAGGATCAAGTCGTTTTGCAGCTGATCACTGTCAAAAAAGTTCAGCGGAGACGTCCAAAGGTTGTCAACAGCGATATGCAGAAGGATAGGGAGGTCACTAATGAATATAATTTGCTGACCGAAGATCATCCCACAAAAATTCCTGTCTGCAAGGCCACCTTTTGCAGCGTTTTGGGTGAGTTTAATTTTGATTTACGAATTATATTATTCATACAGGACTGCCTGCTCTTAAAACATGTGGATCATTAAACGACGCTATGTTGATGTGATAGGCTGGACTACACAGGCTAGATAATGACAGCTTAATTCACAACAAGCACATCACTGGCTTTTCAATGCAGCCTGATGTGTAGCCTGGGTTATATCATGAAGTGAACGAGGCACAATTAAGCTTTTCTGTTGAATCTTTAATGTTTAAGTTTCGTGCTATTTTTTCGTTTGTTTTCATGTTAAAATGTAGCCTACTTAAGGAATTAGTATCACTTAGCCTGATGTATTGCTTGGGCACAAATGTCCTAGCCTAGTTGGCTGGTCATCTGCCATTGTTATTTGATAAATATGCCTACTGCAAGATGAATTAATGTAGAAAAGTAGGCAGTAGCCTAAGTAGGTACTTACACACACAATACATAGGCTACATAAATAGGACTATCAGGCTATAGGTTTGCATTTAAAATGTATGAATAACTGCTATTTAGTTGTCTGATGCACTGCTTAATCACAAATGCCCTTCTTGGCCATGTCATCTGTCATTGTGAATGGATACTGTGAATTAATAAATGAAGCAATGGATGACTTAATTAATTAATAGATAGATAAATACATGTATAGATGAATACATAAATACATACATACACACATACTACAAACACACCTACATACATACAAACAAAATGTCATTTTTCTGTCATTGCAGGTATTGGCAAGGATCGTGTGTCTCCAGTGGCAAGGTATTATGCACTCAATGCTACAGCCAGACCAGAACTCAGGGGTGGTGCTCGTAAGGTGGCAGAAAATGATGCCAAGAAGCAGCATGTGATGGATCACATCAAAACGTTTACATGTAGGGCTAGCCATTATGGAAGAAGGGGAGCACCTGGCCGGAAATACCTACCCTGTGACCTCAGTGTGAAAATAATGCACGAGCTATTCGACCAACAAAACCATGATGTAGTCAGCTACTCCCTGTATTACACTATTTTTCGACAGCACTTCAACCTTGGATTCGGGCATCCTGCCACAGATGCCTGTTCTTCATGTGCCAGGTTTCAACTGAGAGTCAAGGACCCCAGCTTGACTGAAGAAGAGAAACGCAGTGAGTCTGCATCCTACATCCTACACAGGAGACGAGCACGGGTGTTCTATGATTTGCTCGGGCAGGTAGATCATGATGCAGTGACCCTTTGCTTTGACATGATGCAGAATTTGGTACTCCCTAAAACCGCCATAGGTCAGGCATACTATTCCAGACAGCTCTACATGTATCTCTTTGGTGTCGTTATTCACCATGAGACGGGAAGTAAGCAAGCTGTGGATGATGTTCATCTGTACACATGGATGGAGCATGAGAATAGAAAAGGTAGCAATATGACTGCTTCAGCTCTGGACCACTGTTTACGTCAACAGTTGAGTGGTGCTCTTCACCACGCTCAGAGGCTGCGATTGTTCAGCGATTCTTGTTTTGGTCAGAACAAAAATAGTAACCTGCTGTCCATGCTGTTTTCCTTTATGAAGGAGGCCTTTCCAAGAATCAGTGCTGAGTATGTGTTTCCTATAAGGGGGCACAGTTTTATGCCCGTGGATCGTGTGTTTGGGAAGATTGAGCAACAGGTTCGAAAGAAGGACACCATTCTTATGCCAGAGGAATACTACCAAATGTTGCGCAGTCATGGCAATGTACACGTCTATGGGCAAGACTGGGAGGCTTATGATTTCAAGACAGAAACCACAGGCTTTTGTAAAGTCACAGAAGTCATTTAAGCTAAGTGAAGCAAGAATGCTGGAATTCAGGAAGGAGAAACTTGGATTCAAGGCTGTGTATAGCGGTGAATACTGCTACCACTCAGTGTTGAAGAGAAGAAAGAAGTGGGCAAACTTCAAGCCAAGTCAGCTTCCCAAAGAAAGCACAGTGAACGAAGCAAAAAGGAAGGATGTCCTGAACTTGCTCTCTGAAATTGGTGTGAAATTGGTGTGAGTGACCAATGTGCGCTGAACTGTTCTTTTTCATGTTCTCACTGCCTTTTTTACATCAAACCCTATGGGAAATTGCCAAAAGGCAGGCACTTTTAAAAAGCAGCGTCTTCTTCAGTGTTCCTGCAGTTGCATGCCTCTATACATTCCATGTGACTCTTTCTGAATAGAATAGACAGATTATGACCAGTACAGGTACATTGGAATACACGTTACAGTTATCCTTACACTTATTGTGTTCCTTTGTTACTTTTTTTCTCAGTTATAGGTTCACAATTATCTGGTTATGGTTTCAACAATCTGTTAACAACAAACAGCCAGCAGTATGCAGTCTGGCAGGCTGATATTCTCAAGCAGTCTATCATATTTTTACGATCTTGTACACATTGATCACCATCAGTTAATCCTCTATACACATACCTGCAGCGGCAGCGTTGGCTGAGGCATCCCTTGGTATACCCACATGAAGTGAACTCCCTGCAGGCTTTAGCCATAGGTGGCAAAGACAGTAGCTGTGGCACTAACTGACCTTCCTTGTGCATCCATCCCATTTCATCCACTGGAGGAAGATCAGGATGTGGCAGGTGAGCTTGGTTCCAGATTGTCGATTGATAGTGTGAACGCATGATATGAAACTTCACTGCATCTGAGGTTGGTGGCAGAGTCTCTTGTGAACGACCTTATGCAAAACAACTTCACTCTTGCTTTGTTGCATTTATCAACCTCTGGCACACCATACATCTGATACATTTCTCTGTTGATGTCACAATATCTTCTGTGAGAGGGCCCTTCCCAAGGCCAGTAAGATCGGTGTGATGTTGCTCGAACACCTGCCAGGCTGTTTTCTTTCCGTGACCGCTGAACTGAGACACACTATCACAGCCAGTGATGGCATGGAAGGCAAGGAGTGTGTCCTCTTGATCATCAGATAATAACTTGCGAATGTCATGTACTGGAAAATACTTTGGATCCTTTGATGTCCAGGCTTTCATGTAGAGATGGGTACATCCGATTCTGTCATGGTGTGCTAAAAGAAGAAGCACGTCTGTGTCACGCGCTGACACAACTATTGTGTCCATTGGAGCCTGGATGCAGTGCAAAATCAGACGTGCATCAGCCTCCTCGTGGTCAGCCCTTAAAGAGGAGACATCAAGATCTGGATCTGATGACTTGACAGTGGTTGCTTCAGCAAACCCACCCGATACTACAACCACAGGCTCATCTTCTGGGCTGTGTTCTATCAGACGGTTTGAGAGTATTCGAGCGAGATCTGCTTTGTTCTCTTCCAGTGCCATGAAGCTTGACCAGTCTGCTGGAAGTGGAACGGAGTCATTAACGATTTCTCTGCGTACTGGTCGGTGACGCTGTTTACGTTTCCTCCTTGTGCCCATTTTGATGGACTCTTCATGGTACCTGTCGAAGACTACATCAACCCTCTGGTACTTCTCTCCCATCTTCAACACCGTCTCAGCAAACTTGTTGGCATAGTCGCCAAATGTTGTAGTGTCAGGCGGCTTCCTAAGTGCCATTATAAGTGCTTGGCCATCAATAGCCTGGCAGCTGGGTTTCTGAAGGGGTACATCTGCAGGCTATTGGACATGTTTTGTCAGTACATTTGCTAAAACAGACTTGTTGATGGAATGTAGACTGCTGTTAATTGCGGACAGAGATGGCGGGATGGGCATGAGTTCATGCTGGAGGACATTTTCCAGGTCTACCTTACGACCTGCTCTGTAAGCTGTGACTAGCCTTTGTAGAATCTGCCTGTCCACTTTGATGGTGTTTTGCTTGTTCTTGGAAAGTTGCACGACTTCATACAAAGAGGCAAATGTCTTGGCTTTGTTCTTTCGAATGGGTGACTTCAGTCCCAAGTGCTGGTCACTAGCTGGAGGTTCACACAGACCACAAGGTCCACAAACACTTCCATTTGTGCCTGTCCAAGGTGTTCTGCACCAAGCAGAGATTATTGAATTACAACAGACCATTAATCAAAAGTTCCTGCAGCAGAAACCTATCTGTTAGTGCTATAGCCACATTTAAGGAAGAGATTCCACCAATACTTAACTTGATATCATGTCTGCATGTAAGAGAGGAAACTTATACAAAATGTACACCGCCCCAAATTGATCATGTTGTTGATAGTGCTACAGATGCACTGCAAATAAAATCTTTCTCACTCTGTTGCTCCTTTGAAAAAGAAGAAAATAAAACATAGACTAGCTCCATGGCATAATGCCGAAACCCGCAAAATAAAGCAAAAGTCGAGACAACTTGAAAGGATATGGCATTCCACTAAACTTGAAGAATCTCGTTTAATTTGGCATATTACTCTCAATGAATATGTGACTATCGTAATCAGTCGCATTGACCCGAAGACACATTTTGAGTTGTATACACTGATGGAAAGAGGATATTCCTAACTTTCTAATGATATCAGGATTGTTTTTGTACTCCAAATATTAAGCAAAATATGTCACATTATATAATGACTGTCACCGAGTCATCATTTTGAGAAAAAGGCCTTCAAAGTTTTCTCTTCTCTGGAATCCATCGATCTGATTGATTATTAGTGGAGCAAATGATCAAAATACTACGGAGGGAAGATATTTTCGTTTGGATTACAGGTCTGGGGGGTGTGTGTGTGTGTGTGTGTGTGTGTGTGAAAACCCTCACGAGAAACACCGGCTGTTGTTATGCCTGCTGTGACGTTAAGTTACTCCGTTCTCCACTTGTAATTATGCCGTTTCAAGCTTCAAAGTTGTATTTATCATCTGAATTTGCCGAAACAAGTTTAATATTCTGAAAGCCAAGACTTTGTTTAATTGAAATCAGATGAAAACAAACTGTAACGGACCCTGCCGTGTTATCTATGATTACTATACGCTTACATTCATAATTTCAGCCGGAGGGAGGGGGGCGGCGCTGCGGAAGAGCAGATTGCGAGGGAGAGCTGTCATCTTCCCTTTTCAAGCTTCAAAAATGTATTTATCGTGTGATTTTGGAAATAAAAGTTTCATATTCTTAAAGCCAAGACTTTGTTTGTTTAAAATCAAACAAAACACTGAACCCTCGAAAAAACTGTTTTTTACGCAAATCCACGTTTATTTTGAAATGAGCCGTTATAAGAAAGCACTGCGTAAAGCGAGAGCAGCCTACTTCATTAATAGATGAGAATAAGAATAATGCAAGATTTATTTTCAGCACTGTAGCCAGGCTAACAGCTCGATTGAGCCTTCTATTCCCATAGCACTCAGTAGTAATGATTTTATGTGCTTTTTTAACGATAAAATTGTTACTCTTAGATACAAAATTAATGACCTTTGACCAGTATAGTGTTATCAACAGCTTCCGGAAACGTAAGTTCTAATATTACACTAGATAGTAAATTAGAATGCTTTTCAGCCATTAACCTTGAACAATTAAATTCAATGATTCTCTCTTCTAAAGCATCAACGTGTATCTTAGACCCAATTCCAACTAAGCTGTTGAAGGAAGTTTTTCCATTAATTAGCACTTCTTTATTACATATTATGAATATGTCTTTATTATCAGGCTATGTTCCACAATCATTCAAAGTAGCAGTGATAAAACCGCTTCTTAAAAAGCACAACCTCAATCCAGAGGTTTTAGCCAACTATAGACCTATTTATAATCTTCCGTTCCTCTCAAAAATTCTTGAGAAAGCAATGATTTATTTGAATATTTTCAGTCTGGCTTTAGAACACATCATAGCACAGAGACAGCTCTGGTTAAAGTCACAAATGACATTCTAATAGCCTCAGACAAGGGACTTGTCTCTATTCTTGTCTTGCTCGATCTCAGTGCTGCATTTGATACTATCGACCATGACATCTTATTGCAAAGACTAGAGCACTTAGTTGGCATACAGGGAACTGCTTTAGGCTAGTTTAGGTCCTATCTATCTGAACGTTCTCAGTTTGTACGTGTCAACGATGAACCTTCCATGCAAACCAAAGTTAGCCATGGAGTGCCACAGGGCTCAGTGCTCGGACCTATTTTGTTCACATTATATATGCTTCCATTAGGCAATATTATAAGGAATCATTCTGTACATTTTCATTATTATGCGGATGATACTCAACTATATTTATCAATCAAGCCTGATGAAATTAATCATCTAAATAAAATTCAAGACTGCCTCAAGGACTTAAAAACATGGATGACCTTAAACTTTTTGATGTTAAACACGACCAAAACTGAAGTTATTGTACTCGGCCCGAAGAATCTACGAAACAAATTCTCTAAAGATATACTAACTATGGATAGCATTCATTTGGCCTCCAGTGAGACTGTAAGAACTCTTGGTGTTATATTTGATCAGGATTTATCCTTTAACGCCCACATAAAATCAATTTCAAGGACCGCCTACTTCCATCTACGTAACATTGCAAAAATCAGGCATATCTTGCCTCAAAACGATGCAGAGAAACTAGTCCATGCATTTGTTACTTCAAGGCTGGATTATTGTAACTCTTTATTATAAGGGTGTACCAAGCTGATTCAAAATGCTGCAGCTCGTGTACTAACCAGAGTTAGGAAAAGGGACCACATTACTCCTGTTCTGGCTGCCTTACACTGGCTCCCTATAGAACACAGGATAGAATTTAAAATTCTTCTTCTCGCCTACAAAGCCCTTAATGGGCAGGCGCCATCTTACCTTAAATAACTCATTTTACCCTACCGTCCTACTAGGGCATTGCGTTCCAAGAATGCAGGGTTGTTGGTTGTTCCTAGAGGCTCTAAAAGTACAATGGGAGCCAGAGCCTTTTCTTATCAAGCTCCACATTTGTGGAATCAGCTTCCAGTTTGTGTTCGGGCGGCAGACACCCTATCCGTTTTTAAGAGTGCGCTTAAGACCTTCCTTTTTGATAAAGCTTATAGTTAGGGCTGATTAGATTCAGCCCCTAGTTTTGCTGATATAGGCTTAGTTTGTCGGGGGACATCTTACTTCTTCCTTCTCTCTGTCTATACCTGTGTACTCTGTGTACAACCCAGCTTCCCCAGATTTCTTTTTGGTGTCTATATATGCCGGGATCCGGAGTCATGGATGATCCTGTTGCTGTGGTCCTGAGTCCTGGATCGCGAGCCCTGGATCTTGAGTCGTGGCTGTGCCTGTGGTCCTGGATCATAAGTCCTGGATGGATATCCCCGTGGATTCATCCTCCTATTATACACACATGCATTTCCAAACATTTGGACTACCTATGTTGCAAATGTATTATCTTTTCAATTTACACACGGCATCTATTGCACGTCTGTCCGTCCTGGGAGAGGGATCCCTCCTCTGTTGCTCTCCCTGAGGTTTCTCCCATTTTTCCCTTTAAACTGTGGGTTTTCTCTGGAAGTTTTTCCTTGTACGATGTGAGTGTCGAAGGACAGAGGGTGTCATATTGTCATACTGATATTCTGTTCAAACTGTGAAGTCCACTGAGACAAATGTAACATTTGTGATATTGGGCTATATAAATAAACATTGATTGATTGATTGATGGATTGATTACATCTCAAATCTGAATATGGCATCAGATTGCCCATGTAGTAGAACTTACAAAAGCACATTTAATTCAAGTGTGTACCTTGTTTAGTCAAAAATATATACTTGAAATAGATTTCAGGCTGGTGGTGGCGGCAGCCATGTTGGATTTCTCAATTTTGAGGCATTTTGGGACATTTTTGAGCTTCATATACAGCAGATTTGGATTCAGCACCCCTTAATACCCCTAGAAATGTTGTATAGCATAAATAAACACAAAATGCCTTCGGGGTTCTGATTTTGTGAAAATTGACCCTGTCTAATATGAGGGATGTCTAAAATGCATGATCTGTTTGGTATTTTGAGCAAAACCCATCATAGACATGTTTTTTATATATTTGTATATATCTGACACCCATATTATATGCCCAAAAATAGCATGATAGGAGATCTTTAAAATATTTGGTCTTAGTATAAGTAAGTATTGTGGTGGAAATTCCTTCATACTTAATCACCTTCTGGTAAGAAAATAACAAATATACAAGCTTAAACCGAAGTTGTGTTATTTAATAAAGAGTTTATAGCATTTAACATCTTAAGCACGGCGGTCCCCCCAGTGGACCCCCCCCCATCGTTTTTTTTCGATACTGTGTCTCAGGGCTTCTTAACATTTATGAAACTATTAATGAGTAGCACCAGTTTAACGGGAAGAATCTCAGCTAACTGAAGATATGAACCATTTTTACCAAAACAAAACACAAGGGTAATACCAAGCCTCTGAATTAGCACTAAGCGAAAAAATGCTAACGCACTTTAGCACAGAACTCAAAATAAAGATACCCTTATTACTTATCGAAACTACACATACAATATATCCGATTAAAGCTGAGACTCCACAGATTATTTAAGTATAGTATCATCACTGAGTGATCCGAACTCCCGACAGGGGAAGCAAACACAGACATCACAACACGTACCTTTACGAAGCTTTTACGGGAGATCGTAAAAAGGAGCTGACACATGGTGTCTCTTCACTTGTACACTTGAGGGGTCAGAGTTCATATGGTGAGGGATTCCATGAGCGGTATGCGCCGGTCTGTGCCTTTACCTTGGACTTCTAGTAGAACTGCTCGGGTCTTGATAGATTGAGTGGGGAAGTTCATGAGATCTTTCTAGAGGGTTATCAAGAATAACTTGTATCCAATGACCTTTTCCCTCTCTGTCGGTGTCTGTGTATTCTCTTGTTCCGATTAACCCAGCCAAATCTTTTTTTCATTTGTTTGTATCTATATCTACGCTGGGATCCGGAGTCGAGGCTGATCCTCTTGCTGTAGTCCTGTGCCCTGGATCCTCTATCCTGAGTTCTGGATTAAGTCGTGGACTTCGGGTCGTGGCTGAATCTGTCTCTGCGGTCCTGCCTTGGGTCTCGTCATGCTGTTCCCTGATGGCTTCCACAGGATTGTAGCTGACATCCTCGTGGATTCATCTTCTTATTACAGACACATGCATTTCCTAACATTCGGTCTATATGCTGTAAAATGTATTATCTCTTCGATTTACACACGCTATTGCACGTCTGTCCGTCCTGGGAGAGGGATCCCTCCTCTGTTGCTCTCCCTGAGGTTTCTCCAATTTTTTCCCCTTAAACTGTGGGGTTTTTCTCTGGAAGTTTTTCCTTGTACGATGTGAGGGTCTAAGGATAGAGGGTGTCATTTTTCTCATACTGATATTCTGAACAATCTGTGCCGTTGTATTTGCTGTAAAGT